CGCCGCCGGGCTCCGACAGGTCCAGGAAAGCCTGGCGCAGCAGGCCCGCCCCGTCCCCCCCGAGCGAGCATCCCAGGGCGCCGGGGGGCTGCGGCGGCGGCTGCAGGTAGGTGGGTACCGGCAGCCCGCCCGGGGTGCGCGGCGGCCAGAACATGCAGAAGGGCGGGTAGAAGGCGGCGTCCTTCCTGCCCGGCCAGAAGAGCCCCGAGAGCCCGCCGCCCGCCGCCGCCGCCCCGCCGGCCTTGTGCGCGGCCGCCCCGCCGAGGGCATCGCCGCCGCCGCCCTCCTCCTTCTTGTGGCAGAGCCCGAAGGCGGCGGCGGGGAAGCCGTAGGGGTGCGGGAAGAGCCCGCCGCAGCCGGGGAACTTCTGGAGCATGCCGCCGAAGGAGCCCTTGCTGGGCACCGGGATGACGGGGTAGCTCCGCGGGCTCTTGCCGCCGTGCGCCGCCGCCACCGCCTCCTGCAGCTCCTCGTCCTCCTCGAAGCGCGGCCGCTTCTGGTGCAGGTCGGGCGGGGCGGCCAGGAGGTGCGGGCTCAGCAGCCCGCCGCCCACCACCGCCGCCGCCTTCACCGAGCCCAGCGGATGGCAGGCGGCGGGGGCAGCGGCGGCGGGGGCCGGCGGGGCGGGCGGCAGGGCGCGCTTGCGGCTGCCGCCGTTGAACATGGCCTTGACATCCTCCCAGGCGAAGACCAGCTCATCCTGGGGGCTCTTGTCGGTCAGCTTCAGGTGGCGGCGCCAGGAGTTGAAGTTGGCGGCGTCGGGCTGGGTGTACTTGGCGTCGGGGGTGCGGTGGGAGTGGAAGATGAACTTGTTGGGCGAGAAGTACATGCTGCAGTAGCTACACTTGATGCACTTGGCTCGGGAGCTGTTGTAGCGGGCCGGAATGAAGCTCCCGCGGCATCCCCAGGCGCACTCGTGGGATACGTCGAAGGCGAAGTTATCCGGCAATTTGGGGGGCCGGTTCTCCCCCAAGAAGGACTTGCAGAGCCGCTCTGCCTCCCTCTTGGTGATCATGCCGCAGCGGCGGGAGGAGATGGGCATGGCCCCGGCGCGCCGCAGGATCTCCAGCTGCACCGGCGTGCACTGCACGCAGGTGATGCCCAGGGCCACCCGCCGGTTGTGGATCTCGTTGTAGCTGAAGTTTTTGAGGAGGGTGTTGGAGATCTGCGCCAGGCACAGCCGCTCCTGCCCGTCGATGACCAGGGAGACGATCGGGATGCCGTAGAGGATCACCTGCCCCACCTGGTTGGGCTTCATGGCGGCGTGGCCGGCCCTCGGCTGGTTCATGGGGTCCGGCGGGTACGCGCTGGACGGCGACGGCAGCAAAATATCGGTGGGGCCGGGCAGCGGGCTGGTCGCCATCGTCTCAGCGTCGGGGGGGCTGCTCTGCTTTAGCTGCGGGAGGGGAGGGGGAGAGAGACACAGCGCYGTCAGCCGAGCCCTCACGGGGACGGGGGTGCCCGCCACACGCACCCCATCCTCCCCCCACTCCTCCGGTCTGCCGGCGTGAGAAGGCGCTACCAGAGGGGACGTTTGCTCAGCGATCCCCACTCCCCCAAACCTCCTCGGWCCTCGCCGGGGATGTCCCCGGAGCGGTCGGCCCCAGATCATCCCCGTTCTCCGACGTGCGCATTCCACCGCAGGTGTGGAGATGATGGCACACGAGCGAATCGTCCCCGTTTGGAAGAATCYCCGACCCACGGGCGCTTCGACCCCCCAAACGCGCAGCGGAGACGCGTGTCCGTCTCCCCGCCCTGGAAACCCGCCGCTACCGGGGAAGGCTCCACGCTGAGCCTCCGCGGGCAGCCGCGGTGCACGGCGGCCGACGGGGAGGCCCCCTCTCCGCACACACCGGCGTGAAGAAAGAGCGGAAGAAGAACGAAAAAACCCCAAAGTTTCGGTCTTCCCCGCGGCTCGCCGTGCATCCTCCCCACCCGGCTCCCGTTACCTCCGCGGCCGCGCTCCGGCCGTGCCGCCGCCGGACCTTCCTCCTCCTSGTCCTCCTCCAGCAGCCGCCGGGAGGGAGGGAAGCGCATCCCCGCTCCCGCCGCCGCGGAGCCGCGCGGCCGGACAGAGCCCCCCGCCCCCGGTGCGGCTGCCCCCCGTGGGCGCTCTGACGTCAGCGGCCCGGGGGGGGACGGGGCCGGACCCACCGCACGCCCCCCCAAACGGTGGGTGGTGAGCGGGGCTGGGGGCGGCTCCCCCATCCCTCTCTTCCTCCCTCTCTCCCTCCCCGCWCCGGGAGGGGATGCGGGCGCCCCGTCGGGGCCCGGCCTCCCGCCGCCGCCCCCCGAGCGCTGACCCGCTCCGCGCACGGTTTCCCGGCGAGAGGCCGGAACGGTGGAAGGTGGAATGCGCTTTGGCTTTTTTTTTTTTTTGCCTTTTTTTTGCCTTCCTTCCTCCCTCCGCCCCTCCAAGATATGAGACAAATCGCTTCCAAGAGTCTGAATATACTCAGTATAAAACTCGCGTCTTTTCGGAAACGTTTTTTTTTTTTTTTTTGAGGGGATCTGGAGAAATTACAGCGTAGGGGAGGAGAAAGAGAGAAAAAGTTGATTTCTCTCCACAACCGTATCCTCACGATCACAAACAGCTTGTGTCCTCCCTGCCATTCCCAAATACACCGGAGTCGTTCACCAGAACCACTTCCA